AATATTGTGGAAATTCTATTTTCGATTGTCAGAGTATGCTTAATATTGAAGTTCGTGCTGTGACGTTAAACATCTCAGATTCTCTGATGAAAGAAAACGTTCGAATTCTACGGGGAAGAGTGCATTGTGGCCGATGAATATCGATATACTCTGCAATGAGTGTGCTAAGAACTTACTTTTGCAGATTGAAAATATTATAAAATTGAGTCGGAGTTAAGATGACGGCTACAGTTGCTTCTTCGTTGGGATTCACCTATAATATGCCGTCGATGCATCATGCTGAACCGTTAACTATGGAAGAGTATGTTGCGGCTATACCCGTACAAATGCTTGATGTCGAGGAAATGCTTCTGCAACAACGTGGATCAAGACCGGTTGGTAGCAGTCTCGATGATATTTCATTGCCGTGTCGATAACCCATCAAACAGTTTTGGTATGGTTTAATGAAAACTATTTTTCAGGTACCATTCACTGGTATGGACAAAAGTGGTCGTGGTGTTTGCGTGCGTAACGAGCAAGGTACATGTCAGATGGGCTCGGTCTGCCCTCTACGACATCTCGTCGGTGATAAGGTTTGAAATCGTTTTTTGAAATATTTGTTCTCTTACCGAAACAGATTTGATGCCATTCTCAAAGTATAAGTCAAAAGCTTGAGTACTGATTGGTGTGAATTAAGCATTTCGAATGCTTCTGAAGAATATTTTGATAAACCGTATATCTTGTAGGCAGTCGTTTGTAAGCACTGGCTTCGTGGTCTGTGCAAGAAGGGTGATCAGTGTGAATTTCTTCACGAATACGATTTGAGTAAAATGCCTGAATGCTTCTTCTTCTCCAAATACAGTTTGTTTTTTAATGTTTTCATGAGTTGTCTTCATTGCTCTATTGTAATATGATGTAACTTGATGAGAATGAATGGTATTAGTCTTCAAAAGTTCGCTTGTTTTCATCCAGCCACGTACAGATCACTTCAATTTAACTGGTTCATAACAAAATATAAAATATTCTCTTGAACCGAGCTAAAATTTTTCCGTTCTAATTCATGCCGAAGACTCACCACTCATTTGAATTACTGTTTGTTTTATTTATGTTATCAGCGGTCATAACAATAGTTTAAATGTTGCGGTTTTGTTGGTATGAGTGTATTTGGATTTGTTGCAGTGGCTTGCAGTAATCGTGAGTGCCCGTTTCGACACATCGATCCTGAAAGTAAAATCAAAGATTGTCCGTGGTACGATCGAGGGTTCTGTAGGCATGGTGCGTTTATTTTAGCCATTATTCGCTTCTGATTTCATCGACAGTTCATTTAGATACTGGTGATGATACACTATAGTTCATTCAAATTATTTGTTGAGGTATGTGTGTACACTGAATTTGTGGGTAATTGCTTCAGCATCAATTTGTTTGAAGTTCATCTGCATTTCAAATATCTTTTGTGAACAAGTTTAGTAAAACGAGAATTATTACTTGTAAAACGGAGCGATTGCATTTAGAGTAGAATGCATCTGTGTATATTTTGACTCGAATAATATCCGCAACAAATGTGAAAAGGTTTGATTTATTATGACTGCAAATGGGACATCTAAATTGGAGACGATTAGTGATATGTCGTCAATTTGAGGGCCCTATTGTAAGAATCGTCATCGACGTCGAGTATTGTGTCCGAATTATTTGGCCGGATTTTGTCCAGACGGTTCAGAATGCAAGTACGCTCATCCATCGTTCAATCTGCCACCTCTGGATACGACGCAAGGAGCTCGAAATAGGGGTCCTTTCAATGCCGCCATAATATGCCATAATTGTCACGAAAGAGGACATAAGGTTCGTGGTTAATCTTCTTTCTGTTGTTGTTATCTCTTGTGCATCATTAATATTCATTATTCGAACTGCTGTAAATTTGAGTACTGTTATTGCTGCCATTTTAGACTTTTGAATTATTATTGTGATTAGTGTTTCTCTTGCAATTTCAGGCGACGTATTGTCCACATTTACCAACTCAGAATCAACCATTAATGGAAGCATCCCGTACTAACCAGGCAATGCCTACGGAACCTGCTGTTCAAGTTCAACTACCTGATAAGAAGGCACTTTCTGATGTTACATGCTATAAGGTTGGTGTTTTGTGTTTTCTTATTTTAATTTTACGATTGATTTGATCTCCTTTCGGCAGAAGAAATATCAGTAAAATTTGAATGGAATTGAATATGCATTTATTTTTGTCTAATCTGTGCACGAGATTCGTGATATTGTGTTGTTTGTTATTGCAGTGCGGTGAGAAAGGTCATTACGCGAATCGTTGTCACAAAGGTGTTTTGGCGTTCCTCTCGAATACGGCACACTTAGCACATGAACAACGTGAAAGGGACGAAAAAGAAGGACGGTACGTTATCACTAACGTTTTATTATATTCAGCTTATACCATTTTATGTTTCGATGTGATGTAATTAGTGTTGCAAATTAGTGTTAAAATAGAGCATTCATTATATTTTAGGAGTGATTTGTAGAAATTTTGTTGAAATATTTGAATCAAATGTTGATCCTTGACATGTCGAAGTCGAAATTTCAGATTGGCAACTCAAGCATTCTTCAACGCCCTCAATAAACCACCACCAAACATGATGCACAATCCATCGAACATGCTAAATAAATCCAATGATTCGATGCAATTATAGTATTTCATGAGATATTTCTGTATATTTGTGAACGGTGTAACAATGGCATTATTGTCGACGTTAGTTAAAGTTTTCGTGGCTTTGTCACTTTTTGAGGTCGAATTCTTAAAAACATCAAATGGAAAAGATTTATTAACATTGTGTTATGAGAAAAAGTGTTATTGTGCGGGTGGTGTTGTTACTTTGATTACTGTTATGATATATGACTTGTTATGATATATGATTACTGTTATGATATATGACTTGATTTCATGACTGATCCTTTATTTGATTGTTACTCGTCTGTTTTTGTACATTTATTCGTGATTGCGACATAAAATCTTGGATTGAGATGTTTTTCTCATTTTATTGGACGCGTTTTCCGTTCAGTCGGAATATTTCATATTGTGAACGTATTGTTTTTTTTAATTCTTGGTTTTTATCGTATTTGAGCATTACTGGTTGGGCTGGATTGGATGCGTGAACTGTTGTTGGCATACTATCGATAAGTTGTGTTGAATGTTTTGGAATTTCAGTGTCGGGCTTGGTGAGTATTGTCGATGACACGAAAGCCACCCGTTCAGATCGGTGATGAATACAAAATTCCATTGAAAACATTGAATCCACATATTACATGTCCAATCTGTAAAGGGTATGCATTCATGTTAACTTTATTTTGTTTTTGTGAATAGCAGATTCCATCGCTATTTTTAAATCAAGAGTTCCAATATTGAGTTTCAGATGAAATGAAGCGTTTGGAGTTGTTGTATGAATCAGATTTTGTTGTTGTTGCAGATATTTCATTGAGGCAACGACTGTTATTGAATGTTTGCATACGTTTTGCAAGTCGTGCTTGCTGAAACATTTCGAAAACGAGAACAATTGCTGTCCAAAATGTAACAGTCTCATCCATCAGGTATGTTGTTTCGTTGAATGTTGCGATTGATCAACTAATCGAATTGTTCAGCGAACTAGACTTAAGAATTGCAATCTGCTCAGTAAGTAAGCAATAAATGTTGGTGTTATCTTCGCGGGGCAATTTCAGTCGCATCGAAGCTATTGAGGTCTATCGAAAAAAATGTAGTGGTTGAGAAATTTTTTGTATGTTCATGTCGTATTAAATGGAGAAGTGAGAAAAGAAAATTTCTTTTACTACAGAGTCATCCATCACATTACGTGAGTTTCGATCGTACCATGCAAGAGCTGGTGTATAAATTAGTGCCGGGCCTTCAAGCCAAAGAAGAGGAATACAGAAGTGCGTTCGCAAAATCTATCAAAGAGGAGTCCGATGGCGATGAGAGCGTCACGAAGACGGAGGACTCTGAAGTGAGTTTGTTTTAAGCGTAGTGCTTGTTACTTTCATCGGCAATTGAGTTGGGAACATAAAGCATATTGGAACAAATTTTGAGAGTATTCCCGAGAGGAAGGATTGCTCAGAGGATGTGATGCGAAATCATCATCGTGCCGACGAACAGTTGGTGATTGAGTTGTGCACAGACAACTTCTCTAAATTCGACAACATCCCAATGCCGATCGTTCGACTATCATGTGAGTTATTGCACTCTCTGACATTTTATTTCGAACATTGAATTGCTTGAATATCATTTGTTGCATAGAGGGAGGAACAAACGCATCCAGCATTTATTCTCATTTCGTTGATTTGATACGTTGGGAATTGAAGCAGAGTCTAGTTTTTTCGGAATAATCGTATGTATTCCTTTGGAAAGAAGTGATTTTTCTGAGCATCACTGAAATGTTTTCACACGGCTTTCGAATTGAGGATGGATGTCATTCATAGCGATAAAATCGGATGGTTTTTGTTTCAGCAATGGCCACAGTCAATACGATTAAGCGATATTTGGCGTTGGTGTTGTTGGGTGATATAAGTCGATATAATGAATTGGATATTTTTTGTAATAACGAATTGATGGGACGTGATTATTCGATGAAGTTTATCGAGAAAACACGATGGCGTAACAAGCCGAAAGTGGATCCCATACAGCTCATCTTCAGAAAGCATATCGACTTCTAGCAACTGTGATTTCAGTTGCTCTTTTGTGGTGGCGAGTGGTTGGTTTATCACGTAGCCACTTATCACTTTTTAAGTGTACGAGAAATTGTAGCTTTCAGACGGAACTTTACGAGAATTTAGTGGAACGGAGAGGGAGTTTGCAAACTCTAGATAACCTCTGTGCGGTAATAGCTTGGATGGACACTCTGCAGTTGTTTCGTTAAGATAAGCCAAGGCGGCTCATAAATAAGAAAGATTCTATGAACATATTCGTTTGGCACTATCTGCATTTCAAGATTCATCAGTAATCTAGCAACTGCTGTACATTGTTTGCAGTGGAATTAATCAAATTGAAGCATTTCGAATTATTGAGATTTGATACGACTTTTATGTTGTTGTATTTACATTACGTGTATAGTATTTATTGTCATCGTCACATTTCTTTTTATGATTGAAAACTCTTTCATTATTATTGTTTGCAAATATTGATTTATGAAAAAGTATTGAATGTTTTGACGTAACCGTGTTGTGCTGTACATGTCACATGCGAACTGTTCACGACATCACCATTAAATGGTGAATAAAAGTCAATAAACTGGATTTATTCCGTTTTATTCTTGATTGATTCTATTATTGGCATTTGGTTTCGTTATACCAACATTGAGATGCGAACGTAATTGCATATTTTACTTGCCACTTTCATTCGAGAGGAATTTTGCTCGTCTTCAGACATTCTGAGTTTCACAATAACGCTGGAATAGAGAATATACANTTGATTATTAAGGTGAGTATATGAGTAAATGATAGCAAACGATATGTTAGAAGGTGCCCAGCGAATATTATTCATCATTTATTCAATACTAATAAATTCAGTATCACGTTTAGAATTCATCGAAAGGCGAGTTTCGTCAGCGAGTTGAAGTAATCTGTAGGGTTTGTTACCTGTCGAACATATATCGAACGCTAATAGAAATCGCAATGCTAACGTCATCATTAGAGCATTCTGGTGATACGAACATTGTTGATTCCTCGCAGATGCCGACTGAATCTGAAGGATTGGATGAGTCGGATTCTAGTCGAGGTTCGATTTACTCTAGAATTAAGCAAAAATTCATTTTGACATGACTATAACCGGATGGCTTATTTGTTCATTGGGGTTTTGTCAGTTATGAATTGTTCGATGATATTGATGACTTGTTTTAGATAAGATGCACCAACAGAATCAGAATAAATCAGATGCAGATGCTAGATCAGCTTTGGCAAGCGATGGAACGAGATCCAAACGAAAGCAGTTAGTGATTTCTTCTTCTTTATCGCTACCACTAGGTTTTAGTTTTGTTTATTGTCATCACTTGAAGTAGTCAGCAATTAATCACCAGCCATACTTAACAATAAGGGCGATGAAATCATGATGATTTACGAATTTGATAATAAAACGCTTTAGAATCAAATTTAGAAATAATAAATGAATTAATTTTTAAATGGACACTAATCGAAGGTTCCACAGGAACTAGTGTTGTGTCATTGACGGTGTTCAAATGCAGTTGTTGTGACAGTAATGTTTGAATATATCTGGGTCTTTCATATGAAAATAACGTTCATCCGCTAATTTAGTGTTGTTCAAAATGTAACAAAACGGCAGCTTCCATATCGATCAGCACGTATCTCGTCGTATAATGCGTTGGAGAGTGGTACTGGTGCCTTGGAAGTGCCACATTTAGGATTCAGTAAAGAAGGATACTCGACGGTGCAGCCGTCTTCAGGATCAGTTCAACAGATACCTCATCTGGAGCCTGCCGAAATGATTCAATGTGAGTTGATGGTGAGAGAGAGCTATTTTTTTCTCAAGGAAAGCTATCGATTCCCTTACACAAGAAGGCAGGCAATCGTTCATTGTTTTGCAGGTAATGTTGCTGAATACGATGATTTGGTTGCAGCGAGCACATCGTCGTCGTGTGCCGATAGCGGTGGAGTGCTTAATAGGATGATCAGTATTGAGCACGTGAATAATGGACGACATGTGAGTAGTTGCTGTTTTGGCTGACTCTTGGTCACCAATCGAAATAAATTATTTGAGAATCAGTTCCATTTCTAGATTCTCGCACATCAGCTCGGCGACTCGGTATGGCCGTTACTGTCACAAGAGGCAGTTGATTTCGCATATGCGGCGAACGTTATCGTAGGATTATGTCAGGTATTACTTCCTCATTCTAATCTGATCGATATTCTGATTGAATCAATCACAAATTCGTGTCTAATAAAAAGTTTTCAGTTTGTACCATATTTTGTTCAATGATAAATTTTTGTCTCATTCATATATTTTGATGGCACAATTTTCTTTGAGGGCACGATTATGTGAAATTTGCAACATTTTCAAATATAGTTTTTATGAGTGCATATTGATTTTGATTCTGTAGCGATATAGTATGGTACGAATGCGATTTTTTTTTGTTTGGTTATAACGTTGATCGTGTATTTGTGAAAGGGTTTCAGTTGATTCGTTCATTCAACATCGCAATACTAAAACCAGTTTTTGGAGGTGGTTACAGCAGTGGTAACTAGCGTGTAATAATGGGAAATTATATTATGATATCATATGATAGTGTCAGTGATTTGGGAGGTATGTTAGATGAAATGTATGTGTGCTGGTGGACATATGACAGAATTGCAGCACATGATTTCACTAGTGCAACAAGCGTAGGGTTATGACTTTTGATCAGGTGTGCGTTGAGTGAAGGGTGAATGGCGTGCGTTTACATTGCTTGGTTCGTGTGGTCGGTTCCAACCGATCATCGAAATACATAGAATTTCTTGTGAATTCTATCCATGCTTTGAGGAATTTAAAGGTCAATTTAAATTTTCTAATAAAAGTAGTGAATGTTCTTCTCTTTGTCATAAATCGATCTGAAGTGCTTCGAAAATTGCCTAATCTGCATGCAACGTTGCGCAATAATTACTGTGAATTGAACAATACGGTTGCTGGTTATATAAGTGGAGTATATCTGAGTAACGAATGATTACGCTTATTCAATAGTACTATTAATTTCATTGAGCGTTGATAGTATCTTCAACATTCGACTATTCGTTGTCGTATTCTTATTGAAAT